GAGCTTCATTTCATGGTCATATATTACTTTCCTCCCTTTGTCTTCTCTTTAATTCAATTCATTCACTTATTTCTAACTTATTTTCTATTGCACCTTTACCTTTGTAAAACACTTTAAGCCTTCTCTTAAAGTACATTTCATATAAAGAGTCCTCTTTTTGGATCTAACATAACCATTCAAAATAGTACAAGGTGTCCGGCGTGTAACAAATCTTCCCAGGCAGATGAATCAATTAATTAACAGGCTTTTATTGGGGTTCCGCTCCTGGGCGAGGTTCCCCAGTTCCAACAGAGCAACAGAGCGGGGGCCGAGGAAGTTGCACGTCAGAGATTGGGAGAGCTCCCTTTATAGATTCAGGGCGTGGGGGTTAAAGGTTGAGGCGGGTCTGATCCTCATTGGTTGACCTTTAGGCACCCGCAGGGACCTTGACAAGGACTTTTCTTCCCCGCAAGTACAGGTAGGGACTCCATTCCCGGAAGTGTAGGCCTTCACTCCTTGCGGATCTCAAAGCTACCAGGTATTAGCATCATCTTTTAACAGACACTGATAACTAGAGATCTCTCTTCAACAACTGAACCAAGTCCAAATAACAGACACTGAAGAGCAAAGACTGAAAATCAGGACTGCCTGTTTCCAAAATCCATGAACATTTGGAGGCATAGTACTGTATTGTTTACTTTGTTTCTACAGACATGCTTTTTACACCACGGAATTTATACAGCAGAACTAGGATAATGTCCTCTATCTGCTGGGAATAGTGTCCATTTCTCAGGACAGCCGGGATCATTCAATCTAAAGGAAAAATGAGTTTCTATTGTAACTCTCCTGGAGACCCACAGAAGAGAATGGGGTATAAAACTCTGATTCTAAAAACACTCATTTTCTGTTATTTATCTTAAAGTACGGTGAAACTACTCAATACTCTTGAAGGTTCAGAAAATACATTATAGGGGAAAAAAATCACCTCAATGATTACTTTAATGCACAACCTTAGCTTCATGGCATTTCCCTAATTTCCTCAAGGAAGGCTATTTCTCCAACTTATTTCCTTCCAATTGATTGGTAGGATTTCAATCTCTTTAGATCTTTTGCATTAGAGGAAGGCACAGGTTTATTTTTTCTCAATTTGTGGAGTTTGAGGTTTCTATACTCTTTCTCCATTTAACAACTTATAAAATTGTATTTAAAAAACAAACTGTCTTTTAGGACAAAAACTTCAAAATCTAAGTATTGCATTAGATTCACATCCTCAAAGTTGGAAAAGGAGAGGTAAAATTTCTTCTACTTTTACTTTTGTTCAAGAAGTAGGAGGGTTGCAATGCAGCGAGAGCAAGCAAGCTTCCACCTGCTGATTTATTCCTCAAATCCTCATAGTAGCCATGGCTGGACAAGGCCAAAGCTGGGAGCTTGGAATTCATTCCAAGGATCTCAAGCGGGTGGCACAGACTCAACTACTTGAGACATCACTGTTGCCTCCCAAGGTGCACATCAGCAGCAAGATGAAGCCAGGAGCCAGATCCAGGACTTGAACCTCCTCTGGTATGGAACACAAGCATCTTAACTGCTAAGTTAAATGCCCAATCTCTCAGAAATTATTTTATAGGAAGAGGTGGGAATATTTGTTTCACAGAATTTAGATTTTTTTCTCCATTTTTCTTAACTTGGAGGGAGCAGGTTCAATACAGAATTCTAAGTATATCAGGGTTTAGATTTATCATTATTTGCTGGAACCTCAGGTGTGTTATTTCACCTCCCATCAACAAACCCATTTCTAACAACAGGAATGGAACAGACAAACTTGAAGTAAATACAACTGTTACCTGAATCCATTATGCTTATCTTATTGTAATGTTTAGAGTCTGAATAGGAAAAATCACATTGTTACTTTGGATCAACCCTAACCTTTCTTCATGTCAAAGTGCTAAAACTTCTCCCTGGGTGGGGCCTATTACTCATCTCTGGTGCCCTCTCCTAAACTCCAACACCTCTGAACTTTGTTCTTTCTATAAGCAGTGACAGAACAGTGGTGCAGAGGATAGAGGATGTGAAAACCCCTGTAGCAAACCCAACAAAAATTCAAAATCATCCCCCTAATTAAAATATTTTGAAGGTTTTTCTTTGTAGTGGTCCTTTTGTCAATTTTCCTCTTTATGGTTCTTTACTCCATTGAAAAATCTCATAAGCCATCTCATAGTAGGGCTTATGTTTATGTAGCATCTTAGCTGCTTCCCCATAATAAAAAAGATTTTACAATTCAAATTCATTAAAGATGACTTGAGGAAAAATTAATATCTATATATTCCTTACTGCATGCCCAGCAGTGTTCTACATACTTTGGTTTTATGAGGGTAATTCAAAAAATTTATAGAAAATGGAATGAAAATGATACATTTATTTGGTGTAATGTTTTTTAAATCCAAGAATTGTTTTTTCCTAATACTTATTTTCCATAAATATTTTGAAGGCCCTTCATTTGAAAGCATTTAGCCCTCAGAGTATGAAGTATGCCCATATATCCTTTACTATCTAACTCTATGCAGTTCCTGAATTCAGTGTTTAGAGGTCAAATACTTTGGATGGCCAGGGAAACTCAATTAGCCCAATCTACTTGGAAAGGTGAAAGTCATAAGTTTAAATAGCAAGTCATGCCATGAAAAAATGCAAACACAAGTACATTTGACTCCTTTGTAGCAAAAGAAAGGGTTTAGTGATGGAGAATTAAAACAAAGAAATGTCTACTCTATTGGCTATCTCCACTTTGCAGACAAGAAAGCTGAAGCACAAATAAGCTAGGAAAACTGCCTTACGTTTCATGGCTAGTTAGTGGCAGGGCCAGAAATTGTTAGCAAGCACTCAAAGCCCTAGTGTTGTATTATGGTTGTGCTAGACAGACCAGCTAAACTTTATTTTCCTCCCTTATGGCATCTAGTGTCACCCATGTGTGGCATCTCTCTGGAGAGGTTAGCCAGAGTTCCCATTCTGTGTCTTACAAAACTCAATTAGTTAGCAATCTCTGATAGTGTTTTATTTACATCAATATAAACAGGATTTAATGAAACTTGCTTTTAAAATCTTAATAGTCTAATGGCAAGGCTGAAAGAACCGTAATGTTCCATTTTGGCACTGTCTTCAATGAATTCCACCACAGTGGACTGAGTGATCATCTTGTCTTTAAGTAAGGCAGTGTTCAAGAGAAGACTGTTTTAAACAAGTTTTCATCTTTATTTTTTAAAATGTTTATTTTTATTTTTCACCTACTTAAAAGGCAGACCAACAGAGAGGAAGGCAGAGAGAGAGAGAAAGAGAAAGAGAGAGGTCTTCCATTCTCCATCTGCTGGTGCATTCCCAAAAGGCATGCAACAACCAGAGCTGGATCAGATCAAAGCCAGGAACTCCACCTAGGTTACCCATATGAGTAGCCCGGGCACAAGCACTTGAACCATCTTCTTCTGTGTCCCAGGATATATTAGCAGAAAGCTGGAATGGAAGCAAATTAGCCAAGACTCTAACTGGCATCTCGGTATGGAATGTGGACATCCCACGTAGTGGCTTGATCCACTGAACTGAAATGCCCACCTCCCAAAGCAGATTAATCCAGGTTAAAGTACACAGAGCAACTTGGTTTCTTTCAGTGGAATCTGTCTTGGCATTGCTAAAAATAAAGTCTCTTCAAACCACTGCTTGTTCTGAACTGATCATGCTTGCAAAAGCCAGATTCTTACATAGCTGGTCAGGTTACCATTGCATTTGGCATTCCCACATTTCCTAGTTTCAATGAATAATGACAGTGATGATTTTACTCAAGAGCTCAACCTAGGTCTTCATAAAATCATGCCAAAGCATGTATTTCCCTAAGTCTCCATTGTAGATGTCAGTTGACTGTTGTCCAACTTGAAAACCAGAGCATAAACTCAGATTTACATGTTAAATAAAATATTGTCTGTTGTGCTGACAGGTAGTATTTTCATACATTTTAGCGAAAAATAAATTTATGCTTGTTTTCAAAAGTCTCTTTACCTTTTCACATAGTACCAATGCTAGGCATAATGTAGGACTAAAATTACATTCAATCAGTAACATTAATGAAGAAAATATATCTTGGAGGTGATAAAAATCCTGGCTTTGCCTGTCAATCAGTGAGGTGTCAATGGTATGTGACAGCATGCCAGGAGGCCAAAAAGCCACCCCTTTAAGCCCAGGACATTCTCCTGAGTGAACTGCAATGCAAAAATACATGAAGTTAATAACATACTCTGAGATTTAAAAGGTCAAGATAAAATTTCCAACTATGCAGCTAATATCCCTGGTGAATTCCCCGATGAATATGGACACTTTGATGGAAACTAGATGTTCTAGGATACTCAAGGAAAATTGGATTTAGATCTAAGTTCTAATCATAATTCCATTATTTACTACATATGTGCCCTAAGATGAGTTATTTGCCCTCTTTCTACGCTTCAGTCTCCATATTTGTGTAGAGAATTAGACTGTGTGAGCTTTATGGTTCCTTGCAATCCCAAAAGTTTGTGGTTCTTGTTCACAAAGATCTGCCTAATTTGCCTGTCACATTATTTCTAATAGATGTTTTCTGTTTACTTGGTGCAGAGGTTTCATACTACTGTGAATACCCATTGGAGACTCCTAAGAGCTATGCAAAATTTGAGCTGTTAATTGTCCACTCCTTATGCTATTACTGCTCACTCAATAAAGGTTAGCCAAATCTCTAAAATGTAAGATACACACCACAGTAAGTTGAGCCATCCTTATTTTTGGTATGGCCTCTGGCTTATAAAATATCTAGGGGTGATTTCACAGTTCCCTAGGCTTTATCTGTGATAAAGTTCATAGTTTTGTTTTTAATTAAAATACCCTCCAATGTTTGTCTTTTTAAAATATATACCTACATAGATGACATACACGCATCTAAATGAAGGAATCAATGGTAAAAATTATCTTAAGCACACATGTAAATCCTATGACACATATCACTTGAACATCCATAAAAAAGCATTATAAGAATTTAATAATCATTGGCATATTGTCTTGTGATTTATACAATTTAAAAACAAGCCTGTAATTTCATATAGATTTTTAAAAATATAACATCTGTTTGAATTACAAATTATCAGCAAAATCCACTACTTCACAGCTCACCACCACTCGAGTATTTAGGAAAAAGTAGAACAGTGGTTGATGGGAAGGTATATTAAAATAAAAGGTAGTTTTACTTTAAAAGCAAAAATCTTCATAGAAATCTGTATGCAAGTTTCTGAAAACGCTGCTGTAAAAGTCAAGTCTGTTATGAAATCAATCCCCTGTTATGATGGGTGACTTGTATGAAATACTGGAAGGTATACTCTACAATTTAGGAATCGGTGTGGCTGCCACTGCTATGCTCTCAATTGCACACTCGTCCGTTCCTCTTCGGATGCGGAAGTAGCCATTCTCACCCCAGCTGGTGCCCCAGCTGTTTTTAACAATCCAGTAATCCACCCCAGTGGCAGGGTCAGTGCCATAGCCAACAAGCAGAACTGCGTGATTAGTCAGTTCAAAGGGGTTGAAAGGGTCTCTCAGACCAGTGTGGTGGTAGATCCCCTTGTGGTAGTGCAGGAAGTCATCGTAGACCTCAAAAGCCACAGCCATGGGCCCATGATGGACAAGCTCAAGCTTCATCAGGGCTTCATTGCAGCCCCCATAGAAACCGCCCACATAGTGGTACTCGGAGGAGTAGTAACGAAAGCAATCCTCCTTCATTTTGCATGGAGAATCAGTGCCTGTGTAGGGGAAGCAGTCTTCTTCCACCAGACCGAAATCCTGGGCATACTTTCCTGCGATGAGGTACGGGAAGCCACCATTACAGCCTGAGGATACATAACAAACACGTTTATTACCTCTTTATTACAAAAGGGTACAGCAGAAGTGTTCCAATTCCTACTGTTTTTTTCTTCTGTGCTCCATTATCTCTAATATCTTAGCCTTGGTAGTTGTCCTTGGCTTACATGTTCCTTTATTCATTCATCCATTGACCAATAAGCTGTTTTCCACCCCTGTCAACTGCACAGTTATTTACTTAGCACCCAACATGGAAAGCAATCATGGCATATAGTGACGTGAGGAGGCTCTGAAGCCTCAAACCCAAAGCTATGAGGACTTTAACTTCTCTGCACCTCTCGGTACTTATCTGTAAAATGATACACAGTAATAGCACCTTCCTCATGGGTTTAGATTAGTTACTTTCCTGTGAAATATGAGAGATGATTGTCACTGCTAGATAACTGGACATCACACCACAGCTCTTCCTCAACCAAGTCATCTTTCGACCTCTTGCATTCCTGCCCAGTGATTTGCAGGTACTTTAAAATGTCTCTGGAAAAATGTAATTAAGTAATGTTTATTTTGATGCAAAAGTTTTTGAGAGCTGGGAAACATTCCAGTGGCCACATGTGGAGTTGACAGCAGAAAACCTCAAAATGGTAATGATTCTTCCTTAATCAATGGCAGATGGGCTTTACACATGCATTACATGTCTTGTTCTGAATTCCCAAGTACAGAATTTTTTTTTTTTTTTTAATTTTGACAGATAGAGTTAGACAATGAGAGAGAGAGAGTGAAAGGTCTTCCTTCCATTGGTTCACTCCCCAAATGGGCGCCACGGACGACGCTGTGCCGATCCGAAGCCAGGAGCCAGGTGCTTCTTCCTGGTCTCCCATGTGGGTGCAGGGGCCCAAACACTTGGGCCATCCTCCACTGCCTTCCCGGGCCACAGCAGAGAGCTGGACTGGAAGAGGGGCAGCCGGGACTAGAACCCGGCGCCCATATGGGATGCCGGCACTGCAGGCGGAGGATTAACCAAGTGAGCCACAGCGCCGGCCCCCCAAGTACAGAATTTTAAAATTATCTGAGAAATCATATTAGCATGGCTTAATATAAACTGAATTTTGGAATGAAATTATGGTTGGAAGTGAAACTCCAATGCTCAAAAGCTGTGGAATCTTAACATTACAAAACACGTTGGTGTGTCACCCCAAAGCTACATGGATAGAGGTTATATCTACTTCTGCTCAGGGTTTTCAGCACTGTTAAGTGTGCTATGTGTAAGAGGTGGTGCTTACTCAATATACACTAATGACACTGTGCTGCAGGGTGAATTGAATTCCGTGAGAAATCATCTGTTAGGTCAGTGACAAGGCCAGACCTGCACATAAGTTTTCTGACTACAGACACTACTCTCTAGTATACCATCCTTTTGCTTCTGCCAACAGTGGCCACTTGCAGATAATACACCTGACATACAACTTACCTTGAGCATACTGGCTGCAAGACACAATCTCCTGAGGACTCAGGATAGGGGTCTGAGAATTGTTGGTTAGTATACGGATTCTTGCTTCCAGCATACCCACAGAAGCAAATGAGTAGCAGCTTCCACAAGATTCTGCAGATGGAAAAGAAAAATGTAAATCCAAGAGGCATGTGAAGCCTCACAAGATACACTAATACAGTATTTATATTGAATATTGTTGCCATTCATAAGAATCAGCACTAGAAGAATCAATCAGCAAACACTGTGCAGCTCGCAGGCAAACATTAAAATTTCATACTTTGTCATCAAAAGGCAAACCTTACTACATTTGACTCTCAGAATATTTTAGATTTTTAAGAAAAAATAAACACCTCATAACTTCTGAGATTCTTGTTTATAAAGAAGGGAATTCAGAAGGGATGGCTCAGCATTCTGAGTCATCAGGTTAAGAGAAAATTGTGGCAGAACACCCATATTTAAGCTTTCAAGTAATCTAATGCAGTGCGATAAATGTGTCTCTCCCCAAATTAATGAAATGTCAACCCCTAAAATGATGGTATTAAAAAGTGGGGGCTTTGGGAGGTGAAAGGTCATGAGAGCAGAGTCCTCATGAGTAGGATTTGTGCCCTTATAAAAGATTCCAGAGAGAGGAGAGTTCTCATTTCTTGTACCATGTAAAGTTGTAGCAAAAACACAAGTCTATGAGCCAGGCAGAGGGTCCTTTCCAGATACCGAATCTGGGGAGCCCTGATTTTAGGATTCACCCTCCAGAGCAGTGAGAAATAAATTAAATTTCTATTGTTTATAAACCACCCATACTATGATATTTCCAAGCACCAGCAGCATTTTCCAAAGCATGATAGGTAGAAGTAACCCTGAGAATGGCTCAGGTGTGTCTGTATGGTAGAGAATTAAGTTTAATTGATGTCAAGGAGACAAAATAGGGGGAAAGTTCAAAAAGTTGGACTTCATGAAAAGTCCAACTAAAACATTTATTTTGGTACCAAAAACTTGAAATCCAAGTAAGGGTTTTTCATAATAGGTAATTTCCAAACATTACAAAGTCTCTTCATACAACAGAGCTCAAGAAAGAAAAGAATGATCACAATGATATAAAGTAGGTAATGAGGAAGTAAAAACATGGCTCAAAGGAAGATAAAAAGCCATTAAATGAAGATGGGGTATAAGTCTATATTTTGAAGAAAATGAATATTATAAAAATTAGTTAAATGTAAATTAGTTAAAGATTAGATAAAAAGTAATTAAATGAAGATGGGGTGGTGAGAAAAGTAAACCACTTTAACACCTGGATGTTTAGACAAGGACAAAACAAATGTACTTCAAATCATCTACTAGGAATATAGTTGCTATCAAAAAAGGGAAAACATTCTATTATAAGGTAATTTATAAAAATAATATTCATTTTCTTCAAAATATATACTTATAAGGAAATGTGGTATAAATTCAACAAAATGGGACTTCTACTTTGTTATAATTATAAAAAAATAAGGATCACTTTGCTCTATTATTATTTATATCTATATATATCTTTGTATATATATTCTATATCTCTTTCATCTCTGCTATGGATACAAATTTTACATGGAGATATGCTCATATCAAATCCAAGACACTGACATGCATTCGAAATATTACCAGGAAAAAATATGATCAGAGATACTGTTTTTCTCTTCTCTAGGTAACTGCTGATTTACATTCCTCTGGAGGCAAATGAAGCCAGTACACCTTATGCTCAGCCTTGATTATCTTAAACTCTTTCTGAAATACTTATTTTCCTTAAACTAAACTATGGATTTCCAGGAATGCTTAAAGGAAATGAATTTTCTTCATCTTGGTGCCTGACACAGTAAATAAACTAAATGCATGTTTGTAGAATAGGCCAAGAAATGAACAGACGAACACCTGTCTGTCTACACCTGAAAGTAAAGGGAATTCAATGGACATAGTCAACTTTTAATTTTTCCTAAGCTGCAGAAGAGACAGAACCCAGGATGATAACATGAACCTCCTCTGGAGAGTACAATACCACAAGGTCCTGGGGTAGACTCTGTCTACAGTCCTACTTCCTCTGATTCTCTATCATTTCTGATAGCCCTCAAAATCCCCCCACCCCAATCTCAGGTTTATCCATAGTATAAACTCCTTTTGTTAATGAGGGTTCATCTAAGCTTTGAATATTAGAGCAGAAATACTATGAAGAGGACCGTGCACTTTAACTACTGTACAACCTACTTACTTGATAATATGTGAGGCTTGGAAACAGCCCATCCAAGGTTACATAGCTAACAGATGGTAGGTGCTAGTGCTTCAGTGTCTCCTAGGGCAGTAAGATTTGTGTCCTTTGACATTAATATACTTTGACATATTTTCAGATTTTCTTTCCTTGTCACGTAGTTACTAAATAGAACAAAGTTAACTTCTCAATATATTTCAGAATCATCCCAATAGTAATATCCTTGAAAAATGAGTCCCTTTTTCAAATGACACCAAAAAGCTGGACGAGTGGATAAACAGCCAGAACTGATGATGCTTTCATGAGACTCCAAGGTGTTATAAAAAAATAACACATCCCAGGAGAGTCTGGAAATGGTCCCCTTTTGACCACCCAACCTTCCTGGCTCAGAGCCCTCAGGGAAATCTTCTCTCTGTATTGACCTTAAATCCTCATTATCTGACCATCAGGACCTGTGGGAAAGACAGGCCACAAGGACATTCAAGAGCTCAGAATGCTGTTAACAAGGCAATCCCAGCAATGAGGAAAGAAGATAACCTCCCTCAACTCCCAGAGTTTCCCAGAAGAATGTCAGCTGCCAAGGTAATTAACACCTCCTTTCAAAAGGCAAAGCCAGTGTAGGTTCTAAAGGACCCATGGCCCCTTAAGAAGACTACAATGCATTAAAGAATAAGAAGTGGATCTGGCCCACTTGAATTTGCAGTAACCACATTTCTACAATCTCAGATAGATAAATGTGATTTTCATATGATTTAATGACATTCAACTGTACTTTTCAGTTCTGAACTAGGAGTGAGGAGTCAAGATTCTCTTTTTCTCCTCTCTTGCTTTGTCTCTCATTAGCTATGTGACCTGGGTCATATCACCTGACCTTTTTGGCATTCTTTTTTATCACGCATAAGACGAATTGAGCGGAACAATTTAAGGTCCCTGCCTTCCTGCTCTAATCATAAAAGCAGTATTTAGAACAAAGGTGCAAATGGCCTCGACTTTAACTGTTAGGAAAATAGCCTGCATTTCCTAACTAACATGACAGATGAGAGATGCTCCTTCTCTCCTCTATTAAAGATACAATAAATAAAGACAGCATAGATGAGAGAAGAATAAAATAAGTCCATCTTACCCAATTTCACAGCTTCTCTCATTCTCATACCTCAGAGGAGATTAGCTGTAAGGCTTGTTCTTAAAATTGTGTCAAGCGTAAAGGTAAAACCTCATTTGCCTTCCCCAGTTTTTCTTTTTTCTTTAATCTCCACTTGTTCTATGAAAGTTGTAAATTCCCTCAACTGCAGCTAATTCTGAATTCTGGGTTATATATAACAGTGCTATTGTTAAAGTTAGTGGAAATCTCCAACTAGCCCAATTAGCAGAAGAGAAAGTAATTACTTTTTCCCAACCTACAGTAGAGAAAACCAAAAAGTCAAAGAGGAACAGCTTAGTGCATTATTTCCTCAAGTACTTGACAAGATACTATAGAAGAGGAATCTATTCAAAAGCAATTAATCCATCAAAGCCAGTTTTGAAACTGCAGTTTGTATGAATGTATTTATAACACTCAAAGATGGGGAACATTAGAAATAATAATGCCTTAAACTAGGCTACATTAAATCAGTGCCAAATAATTTTATTTTAGAATGTTCAATTTCCAGGAGATGCAAGATGGCTAAATAAGGAAAAGAGGTGCTGATTTTGACCACAGGAAGATACTAGAAAGCCAGGGGAAGAACCACATTGTCAGGGGAAAATTGGAGAGAAGTTTTCAGTGCAGAGTCTACAGAAATAAGAGAGATCCCACGGAGCAGCAGGGACTGTGCAGCCAGGAAGCGCTGCCAGCCTCCTGCAGCTGGTGGCTGGCGGGGACGCCATCTTCTCGGAGTCAGGTGAGAGGAACTCACAGCAGTCAGCACACCTCAGATGATACTGTCTGAGGGAGAATCTCGCAGTCCCTACTGACTGACTTTTAATCCAGACTGAATTGCTGGTTGGGGGCAGGGTGCCCACCTAACCTCATGAAAGAAGGGCACGTTGATTTCTTCCCCTCCCCCTCCACCAACAAACCCAGCAACCAGAAGGAGGAACTCCATCTTATTAATAAAGTGAGTGGAGGCTGCTTCAGCCCATATACCACAGGTGGATTTTGTTGGAGGGGTAAATCTGTGGTCCCCACTGACTTTGAGTCTGGTCTGGAGATTTGGCACAAGGAAGGGCACCCACTCAGGTCTGTGAAGTGAGGGCACACTGCTCCTTACCCTCAGCCCACCAAGGCTCTGGCCTCAGGCAGACAGCTGGCACCAGGAATGGGGCAGTTACCTTCATGGATGGGGAGGTTTGCGGTTAGAGTAGATCCCCTGTTCCTTGTGACTGTGGGAGGACTGTGCCCTGTGACTGTGAGAACCCTATGACTCTGTGATAGGGCATGAGGTGTGCCTGTGTCTTTGGGCAATCACTGGGTCTGGTTCCAGAGGCTTGAACCAATCCTTTGTGCAGCTTGTGCACCTGAGTGCTTTGGGTGCACAGGCACTGTGGGCATGTTGTTTACCTTGACAGAGAGGGGATGGTACTATGAATATGCCAGCTGATGCAATCATACATCACCAAGCTGACAGAGGATATCTAGCAAGCCTAACTTGGCTATCACTCTGGACTTCTGCCCCACCCTTGAGAACTGGTTGCTCCCTGGCCCCACTCAGCAGACACCTCTGCTATCCATTGAAAGAGCAGGCACTCCACTAAGGCATCCAAGCACATTTCAAAGATCAAAGCCTTCAGAAGAGAAAAACAAACAAGTGTTCTACCGATATGTAAAAATAAATGTAGAAATACAAGAAACATGAACAAGGAAGACAATATAACTCCCCAAAAGGAACATAACAACATT